AAAAGTCTTCTCTGCTGCCTGCTACCATGATTTGAAGTAGCAAAGAGACTTTAGAAGAATGCACTCCTGGGGAGTCTTTCCTGTGCTGAATCCCTTTTTCAATAATTTCTCCATCATTTGGGGAATAATGTGCCCCTTCTCCAATGCTGCTGTCAGATCTAGGCATCTTGAGACACCCAGAGGAGACCACTTTCCTATGTAACCTGTGCTGTCAAGCCCCCCCACCTTGACTTTGGCCAAAGACACTGAAAAGGAAAAGGGCCTCATGAAAGGGCTTCTTTGATTACCTGAAACAGCTGGAGATGGGGACTTCAAGAAATGTGATTATGGTGGAATAAAAGAGAGAGGGTTGCTTAAACTATTAGCTTGGGACAGGTTAGTCAGAGTAGCACACAAAGATGTACAAAGTACACTAATGTAGACCAAGCAAGGCTTTGCTGTACATTTCTAGGCAACTACACACATCATGAGATTTTTTTTAATATCAATTTAATGATCTTGTCTACGTGACTGATAGTCAGCCAGTAAAAAGAGACTTTTTTGAGTTGGAACACACCTCAAATGGGCGTTCCTCCCCTACCTGGGTATTTAATTCTGATCAGCCTGTGTGGTTACTTTACAAAGAGAGGTTACACTGGCCAGATAATGCAAAAAAGCCTTTTGCTACACTTTAATTTTCTCAAATTGTAAAATTCTTAAATTAGTATGGAAATAAGAAGTCATCCATCAAGAAGTTCTATTTGAAATACAACTTATTTGTACTATTTAAAGCACATATAAACAAAATAATTTGTTCTGCAAGAAAACCTACTTCCATTATATTTCCTCTGCATTTAAAATACTGAGCATTTAACCTTCTCTCATCTCTCAGTCTTGCTGAACACCTATGTTATGCTGCTTTTTCTGGAGTTACTGCTCATTTAAACCTACATTAAGGTACACAGAATCAGATGTGTCAGCAATTATCTTTAACCATTCCACTTGCACATAAAAGACAATGATGAATTCTGGGTTCTCAGTATCATTATAGATGTACTGCTGCTGTCACTCAGCTAGAAGCAGAGGAACTTGGAAAGCTGACTGAGGATTAGTTTGAGAAACTTCACTCCTGGGATGAAATTGTCTCTTTGCGGTACATAGGTACCTTATGAGTCCTTTTGTGTGAAGAGAGAAAAATATGGGCTACTTTCACACTGAAAACGTATGCCAAGCAAGACTGAAAGCTCTACACAGATATTGTCATATGAAAAAAAAAAGGAAGATAAAAGATACAGAGATAAAAAAGCTTACTTCAAAGCACCAAAATGACACCATTTTGCATAAGTACATGTCTTTTGAAAAGGGCTCCAGCTGGTTTCTTTAGATTAATGCTATTACCCGCCATAAATATAATGGAAACAGCTGTACCTTCTATCTTCCTAAAGGATGATGCTTACATTAAAGCTCCATTGATTTTCAAACTATAAATACAAGAAGAGTACAATAGTAGGTAAGAGATTTGTGCACTTCCATATCCCTCCCCATCTTTGGATCTTCTAACAGAAACATGAATCCTAAATCATGTTAGTATCATGATGCAGAATTGTTTCAGCTTGGAAATACTGTTCTGCTTTGTTTTGCTTCATTCTGTTCCAAAGTAAAAGCACTGACCTCCTTCCTCCTTCAATGAAGGAGCTGCAGGGAGGCATTGTTCCGTTCAAGAGGGCATTTAGCTGCCTTGAGAGAAAGTTATTGGATAAAATACAGAAATAGCTTCCTGAACAGCAAAGCTCTTCTCTCTCCATGACTCAGCCACTTGGTTATGCTGGAATCAGCCTTGTTTCTGTTTTCTGCCTTAGTCAAGCTATACTCCAGGAAGAATAAAACTGCTTTCACCAAAAGAAAAGAAGATTAAAACTCGAGTGAGAGAAGGAAGGAAACTCCAAAAAGTATCATGACCTAGAAGCTGGATATCATGTTTGGGTTTGAATGCCATCAGACTGGGACAAAGATAACCCAGGTCTTTCATAGCTTTGGTGGGACATTTAGCCACAGATACAGTGCGTTAGGAGCTGGAAGGCTTTGATGTCTTCATATGCATTGTAAGAGCCACTTCTCCTCCATTTCCAAGGTATTGATATCCACCTTCTGGAATATGAGTCCAGAAAGTTAGGGAATGCCTTGTAGCAGTTCTGAATAAAACACTCTCAGAGACGGACTCATATAACACACAGTAGCCTTCACACATCAGCCTGGCACAGTGAGTAGCTGAGTATGTGATGAGAGTGCTGAGGGAGTTGGTGGAGAAAATTGCCAAGCTGTAGAGGGAATTTTAAATGCGTCACAAGATGGCATCCTAGAAGCCCTTATGCACAACCCAGGCTATGAAGGATATGATGAAAGACCCGAGATGAGCTTCAAGGACACAGTGTCCTTGAGCTGCAGGCAGGAAGGACAGGGGTGACAGCTCGGCAGCTTCTGCGCAGATCAAAGGCTTGGCCAGAAAATTGCAAGCAGGACCACCCTGTCAACGCCATGGCATGTGGACAGAGATATTTAACCTATTGGGGTACGGGGTTAGAGCGTGGCTATGCAGTGTTAACCAATACGAATGTGTGATCAGCCACCAAGTGTATAAATACAGAAGCTTGAGTGCATTAAAGCGGAACACTGACAAACCTTCTGTGAAGTCTGTCGTGCTTCTAAGGGCTCCCCGTGCAACACCAAGACTCTCTCCATCATTTATCAGCAGTCCTGGTTAACAGGGGAGGTCCTGGATGACTGGAGAACTGCCAGTGTGACACTCATCTATAAGAAGGGCAGGAAGGAGAATCCAGGGAACTCCAGGCCTGTCAGCCTGACCTCGGTACTGGGGAAGATTATGGAATGGTTCATTTTGGGGGTGATCACGTGGCAAGTGCAGGACAGCAGGGGGATCGGGTCCAGCCAACAGGGATTCATGAAGGGCAAGTCCTGTTTGACCAACCTGATCTCCTTCTATGATCAGGTGACCCACATAGTGGGTGAGGGAAAAGCTGTGGATGTTGTCTACCTGGACTTCAGTAAGTAAGCATTTGACACGTTTCAAACAGCATTCAGTTGGAGAAGCTGGCAGCTCATGGCCTAGACTGGTGGACTCTTTGCTGGGTTACAAACTGGCTGTATGGCCGAGCCCAGAAAGTTAAATCCAGTTGATGACCGGTCACAAGTGGTGTCCCTCAGGGATCAGTTTTTGGAGCAGTCTTGTTTTATACCTTGATCAGTGACTTGGATGAGGAGACTGAATGCACTCCAAGTAAATTTGCAAATGACATAAAATTAAGTGGGAGTGTCAATGTGCTGGAGGGCAGGAAGGCTCTGCAGAGGGATTTGTACAGGCTGGAGCAATGGGCTGAGGTCAATTGTATGAAGTTTAACAAGGCCAAGTGCTGGGTCCCACACTTGGATCACAACAACCCCAGTCAATGCTCCAGGCTTGGGGAGGAGTGGCTGGAAAACTGCCTGGTGGAAAAGGACCTGGGGGTGTTGATGGACAGCTGACTGAAGATGAGCCAGCAGTGTGCCCAGGTGGCCAAGAAGGCCAACGGCATCCTGGCCTGGATCAGAAACTGTGTGACCAGCAGGAGTAGGGAGGTGATTGTGCCCCTGGACTCGACGCTGGTGAGACCGCATCTTGAGTACTGTGTCCAGTTTTGGGCACCGCAGGATAAAAAGGACATGGAAGTGCTGGAGTGGGTCCAGAGAAGGGCAAGGAGGCTGGTGAGAGGGCTGGAAAACATGCCTTGTGGGGACTGGCTGAGGGAACTGGGGTTGTTTAGTCTGGAGAAGAGGAGACTGAGAGGTGACCTTACTGCTCTCTACAACTGCCTAAAAGGAGTTTGTAGTGAGGCTGGTGTTGGTCTCTTCTCTCAAATTACTGATGATAGGACAAGAGGAAATGTCCTCAAGTTGCACCTGTGGAGGTTTTGATTGGATATTAGGAAGAATTTCTTCACTGAAAGAGTGGTTAGACACTGGAACAGGCTGCCCAGGGAGGTGGTGGAGTCATCATCCCCATAAGTGTTCAAAAAACGAGTAGATGTAGCACATGAGACTATGGTCTAGTGGTTAGGGAGATGTTGGGATGAGGGTTGGACTTGATGATCCTGGAGGTCCTTTCCAACCATGGTGATCCTATGATTCTATGTTTATTAAGAGAGGTCTCTTCTTTCTGCAAGACAACTAATCCTGAATCAGTTGTGAATCCATGATGATACATAGCATTACAGCCAGTACAACTCTGAGACTGGACTAATAAGGCATCAATGCCTTGTTAAAACATCTGCATGGTTTCCTGCTTGTGTGAAGTATTGACAAACTGACCTCACATCCAACTGCAAAAAGCCCCACAGACTTGCCTTTAGGTAACTCTCCTCTGAAAGGTTTTATTTTGTGGGTACTCTACTGAGGCACAGAATCCACGCTCTGGCTAAGCAATCTCAGTGCCTTGCTTAGGGACTCTGCTCTGCAGACCAATGATACACCACAGCACACAGCATTCTTGACTTGCACAAACCTTCTTGGGATTGGTGCCTGTGCAAATACAGTATATTTATACAGGACGATAAATAATTGTTAATGAGGCTGCAGTATACTTGCTGTCTTTTCCACTAGCATCTGTGCTTTGAGTCAATGGTTACATCATGTTTTCTGGAAAAAAAAGAAATATTTCAGGGTAGAGGTGCTTGGGTGTAAAAGCAGAGGTACAGAGGGCCAAGCAGTATAAGTATACACCCTGAAAGGTGTAGAGTTTGGGACTCCATGGGAACCTTGCACAAATGTGAGGGACTGAGGGGAAGATGATGGCGATAGAAAGCAAGGTGGATTAGTCTGTTAGCCATTGCCATCCTGTTCCTGGGTCAAGGGTGGTATGGAATCTCACAGCTGCAGCAGACTATAGCTCTGTACAGTGGAAAGCTTCTCCTTCTGCTAACCTTTGACACAACAGATATGGAGGCTTTCTCTAGATTACCAGAACTAATGTCATTTCTATGCATTAGTGAGAAAAAACAGATTAGTATCTGAAGGCCAAAAGAGTCAAAGGTCACCTGCAGATGTCTATTTCTCTGCTAATCTATAATAATTAAGATATATAACATTAAGTATTCATGCAGTACACAGGAAGATAATAAACTGAGGCTAGATGAAGACCATCATTTGCACATGGCATCTTCTAGTCAGTAGCCAATGAATAACAAGTTACTGCAAATCTTCATTTTATCTTCTGGAGGGCATTGCAAAGTATCCCAATCTCACCTGCAAAGGAAATAATCAGAGCAGTTAATTCTGCAGCTAGCCCATTTCTAACACTCCTGTACATATTTATAATTTCTAGCAATTCCCTGAAAGAACAAGGTGAGCAAAGAAGTGCTGCATTGAAAACGTTTATTCAAGTCTTAGTGGGGTAAGACTTTTGCCTTCATCAGCCATACAAGGATGGCTCACAGGATCAGGGGTGCTGGCTCTCAGCAGGGTAACCAGTGTTAAGGGGGAAACATATCAGGAAAATGATAGAATGGAAAAAGAAATCTGATTAAAACCAAGGTTTTCTTTTTCTTCATTACTGAGAATCGCTACAGCCACATATCAGAATCCTGGTCTTTTCTAGCAGTTCTACTAAAACCGTGTGTTTCATAAACTACCGTCAAGTGGAAATGGTATTTTGAAGCTTGGCTAGAATTAGGAAGCAACTTTTGCACCAAAAAGGAGATGTGTGCTGCTTTATCTGGGTCAGGCTCAGAGCATTAAATGCAATCATATGAAATCTGCTATGTGGTTGCTATTTCTGATCCAAATTTTGAGGAACTGAGAATAAAAAGTCTGTAGTTCCTTACTATTGATAGTGTCAGCTAAGTTCTTCAGCTGTTTTGCATTGTCCAAGACTTCAATCCTCTGGGTGTATGGATTGTAACGAACGGAGAAAGGACGAGGGATTGTTTGAGCAAATTTCCTGAGGTGAAAATACAAAAACATATACAAACTTAAAAAGCTCCTTTTTGTAGTAACTCACTGTTCTCTTGGTGTGTGCATTCCCTGATGAGGGGAATAAGAAATTCTGCAAGAGGAAATAACTGAAATTCCTGCTGATCAATCTGAGACAGACAGCATTCTGTAACACAATTGAATCTGCATTTGTCCTTACCGCCTCTGGTTTCCTCCAAACAGGACATGCTATTGGCATGGCAACACTGTTCCTAGCTGTTGGGATTTGCCCAACTTGAAAATCTCATTATCCTTGCAGTAATGTAAAATATAGGAATTCTGATCCAAGTCTGCAATTTCTGGCAAAATAAGGTCAAGTACACAGTCCCTCCTGGCATACCAAAGACCAAGCAGAGTGCTAACTTCTAGAATGGTAGGTAGTGGATTCCAGGTCATTGCAAAGATAGGAGTCGGTCAGTGGAGTAAAGCAGCATTCTTGCCACCCCTTACTTGCAACCTTCCCTGCTGCAAAATAGTTAATTATATAACAGAATCATTAAGATTTTGGGGTTTGAGGAAAACATTAATTTGCATAACCACAGAGCTGTGGAGAGAAGGACTCTGAATGGGATGAGACGGTCAGAGCTATCGTTCCAGGCTCCTTGTAGACACCAACAGGATACTGGGTTGTATATCTTCTTCAAATTACTGAAGCTGTTGCTGAAAGAGGAAGGAAATCGTGTAGGAGTTGATTATGGGGCCTCACTATACAGACCGTGACTCAGCATGGTAAATCCCATATGCCAAGAACAGTGGGATATGCTGGATGCCACTGCCAAATCACTTCTTCAGTTTAGTGCTAATTATTATCAGCTAAGGCTGTTGTCTCAAACTGAGTTCAGTGAGCAGGCCACAAGGTGTGACTGTTGAAAAAAAATAACATTGGCTATAAAAAAAGACTTTCGTGGCACCAGTCCAGTTTTTCTAAGGGAAGAAATGCACATTAGAAGACAGTCTTCCTACATTTCAGCTGATGGTAAGATCCTAATTAGAAGAGGAATTCCTTAAGCTGAAATATTTTAGGTAAGCCTCTGAATCATTTTGGGGGGAAGTTTACTATCACACACAAACACGCGTGTCTAGGTGCAAGCCACAAACACAGGCACTGGGCCAACTCCCAGACCTCAATTTCACCTTAACCACTTTCAAATATGATCATTGAAGCAAATTAAAAAAGCTCCAAGGTAGTTTGTATAGAGTAAGGCATCATCTTCTGCTTTCTCAAGGAACTAGCTACTCAGTTAAAGTATACCGAGAAGACAGAAACATCATACAGGATATTAATGGCACAAACCACAAGAGAAGACCATCTTTCTCAGGTGTTACTCCAGAGAAAAGGGTAGAAGGAGTTGCTGCAGGCTTATGATGATTGAGGAAGTAGCAGGGAAGGTAGGGAGGTAGCGACAAAGACCTTGGAAGTGGGGAGCCTGAGCTAGCAGAATGTCTTGAGTGTCAGTATGTGTTTATCAGAGAGAGAGAGAGAGAGAGAATAGGTCTGGGACAAGTCTCTGTGTGGCATCTCCAAGTGAAAAATGTGTTGAGTTTGAACCAAGGCTAACCCCCAGTGGCTTGGCTTAACATCCAAGAATACAGTGGTGTGGTTTTTCAAACAGAAATAGAAATACTTTTGTGAGGTGGAACCCAAGCTGAACCCTAGGCACAGTCTGAGCCATTCCTGTTTCAAGAACCAGAACTGAACCTGGACCATTATTTGGAAGTTTTGTTAAACTTGAACTGAATCTGTATTTGGGTCACAGATGACTGAAAGATGGGCTGTGTAGCCCTGTAGCCTTGTAAACACACTGCTGGTAATAAGCTGGAGGCACTGTATTAAGCTAACCACAAAGGCCTCAGGATTTGGGTTATTATCCTTGCACTGACTTTTGTTTATCTGCAATAGCAGTTGTCTAATGACCATGTAGCTACTACCTAATTTTTTTTAGTTTTACTCAACTCTGAATAATCATGCTCTAAAATACCTATCATTAATAATTTTTATAGATGCAGGAATAGCACATAGTTACGCTGTACAGAGTTAAATAAATCTGACCCCAAAATAATGATGTGGCATATAAGAGTGCCAGCATGAGCTGATAGCAAAGGCCTTAAAGGTATGAGCACTCCCTACTGGTCAGCTGTTCACAATAAAGCAAACTTAGGAGCTGAGGAAAAAAAAAATGTTTAGAGGAAACAAAAGAGACAAAGAAAAAATATTTAAAATAAATAGTAAAGTCAAAAGTAACACAGATTTGCAGACAAATATAGAAAGGGCAAGATGTAAAGCATGTTAGAAAAAATAAAAATGGCCCTGAGGAAGCCTTAGGCTGAGGAGGAAGAAAGGAGGCGTCAACACCATCTACCTCCTCACAAAAGAGAGGAAGAAACACCATTCATTAACATCACAACTCTGCTCCGAAGACCTCAAGATGCTGACTACTTGACAACCCCCCACCACCGGACCGAAACTGTTGACTTAAGACACGAAACTGTTGAATTAAGACACGAAAGTGTAAAGGTGAGCATAACTTCATAGGAAAGGAGTAGATACTAGGCGATTTTTTGTGCAAGATGTTTTAACTATAGTATTGTTAAAGAGACTTGTTTTGCAATAATTAGCTGGCTTTGACCCTAAGTGTCAGTATCATTGCAATTGAACTAATAATAATTTTAAAGTGCATTTTGGTTATGCAGATGAAACCCTTCATTTGACTAACCACAAGTTCTTGGCTTCATGCCTAAGGTAAGTTCCCCTTATTGCCAAAGATTTTGAGCGTAACAACTGCTTAGTCTTTTTGAGCATTGCACAACTATCCTAATAATTCTCAAAACATTACTGTCAACCCAAGACCTGTTATGACAATGGGACCCACTGTATTGGCAATGAAATTGGGACTTCCATGGAATGGCTGGATTACCTTAGCTTTTCTTTTGCATCTTTAAAACTTTCAGCAACATAGTAGACAGGCTGGAACTCAGTAACAGGATACTTCTGCACAGAAGTCTTCTCCAGGACAAGAGGCTGAATCTCAGGCTTACTTGATAAACAGTACTATGAGCAAAAATGTAAGAAATTTATTTCAGTTAAAAAGTGCTTGAATTTGCTATGAAAGAAATAAGAAATAGAGAGCTACTGAATGCCACCCAGTTTCAGACAGGAAAAAGTTGCTCCTGTGGAATACAATGGCATACTAGGAAAGAATAGGTGTGTGTTTCCTGTGTATGTATATACTGACACATTTATTAGAGCTCTTCAGTGCAGCAGATTTCATGCTACTCCTATGCACAAAGTACAAAGCAAAATAAGGGTCTCAAGAGATTCAGAAATTTGAGCAATTATAAACATCTTTGAAATGTTTTATAGAACACACCTGCAACTCCCCAAACGAAGACAGCAGTCCTGCACCATATGCCTTCAGTGAATCACCTTCCTTACATAGTCCAAACTCCACTGTAAACCAATAAACCTAGCAAGAAAATTAGACAGAAACATGATTCCTTGATTAAAAACAGTAAGTGCACATCTATTATTTGAATACTTTTGGAGTTTACATTTCTATTTAAAATGTTGCGTTGTGTCAAATGTCAACTGCATAAATACAATAAATGTTCCCCACAAACTGAAATTCTTCTCCTGGAACGTGCACAAGGCTAGACTCAGTGTGTCTGTGAATCAGTCCAGTTCCCTGAAGTAAAACTTCATTTTGGCTGGCCAACCCAGTCAAAGTTTGAACCTCAGCTTAGAGAAGTTTTTGTCCTGTTTCATACAGAGGGCATCTAGCCGCAGGAGCAAGAGAGGGAATGGGCTGTTAGTGCAATATTGGAGGAAGACAATGTGTGGCCTAGCTTGACTTCTTGGTCTGCCATTTTGAAGGGATACCAGCTCTGGCTCAGAAGGACTGCTTCATCTATCAGAAGGAGTAAAGTTGGTGCAATGCTTTGCTCAGGTGAGTTGGTGCTGGGGACACTAATCTCATAGGCATATCCTTGGTTTTATTTGAAGTTGGTAACTCTTGCTCTAAATAGTCTCAGAGTAGGATTCAGGTGAGCCACACTGACTGCAGAGGACATTATCTGCCTGGCAGAGTGGAAGAGAAGAGACTCGTGCAGGTCGAACAGCTAGTGAAGCTGCCTCCTGAAATTTTCTGTGGGGACGTAACAACATGTAATCTCTTCTTGCCCAAAATGTTTGTGCTGAAGGAAATCTTGTCTGGGCTTCTGTGTTTAATCACAACTGTCACTTTGAATAAGAGGTGCCAAAGCTATTTTCCTTTAATGCAACTGTTTCAGGGTGGGGTTCTCCAATCATGGACTTCATTCTGTTCCCATTCAACTCTATGGGAGTTCTATCAGTGACCTCAGTGGCAGCAGAATTAAGACAACACAGGGTGCTTTGGAAAACTGAGCCCTTGCATATTAAATTACCGTGGCAAGTTTCTCGATGAAATCATCTGGAGCTCCCAGAGATGCCAGTCCAATTTCCTGTAACAATAAACCATTATTCTTCAAGCTGTTTATTGCAAACATTCTTCCTGTCTCATCTTACGTAATTTCTCACATTTTAAATGTTACCATTGCTTACTACCACACACAAATGTTTACAGGACATGTTCTTATCATGCAACATCAGTTTTAATCCAGAAATCTCTCCAGAAATGAACAAAAGGTCTTGTCCAAATATCATTTACAAGGCATGCTTTTGTGCCTGCTACAAAGCCCACTGAGGTCAAATAAATTTTTTCTCTTGCTGTGACGGGGTTTTGATTAAGTCCACAATGCACATATGAGAGATTGATACTGTCAAAAGGAGGTAAATCAATCACACCCACACACCTTAAATATTTGTTTTGATGGGCCCTGGTTGCAGGAGTTTTCCTGGAGCCTTCAATAAGTTATTTTTTCTGAACAAGAGGGCATCATTTGGAAGAACTTATTCATACCTTGCTAGCTAATAGAGATTTTCCTGGGAGGTATGCAATAGCTGGATTCAGCAGACACCCACACAAGACTGTATATAACCAGGTACCTTTCTTGGTTTGCTCTGTTGAAGACTGTGCGGTGCAAAAATTGTTGTCACACACACGCATACCCCAAGAGCACGGGAAGCCATCACCATGTCAAATCCTAATAAGCCAAGGTGCAGTAGAGTTTATCTTGAAGGAAACCTCAGTTTTGGGAAAGGGCAGAGCCTGAGGGCAATACTGAGTGCTAATTACACCAAGTTGACTTTCATATTTTGAGCAAGATGTTACATAAAGACCATTTTACCTCACTCCCTTTCTTCAGTCCTCCATCTCCTCTCCTCTCCTCTCCTCTCCTCTCCTCTCCTCTCCTCTCCTCTCCTCTCCTCTTCTTTCTGTTTCTTTCCTTCCTTCTTTCATTCCTTCTTTTTCTTTCTCTTTCTGACCTTCTTTCTGACTTTCTCTCTCTGGCTTGCTTTCTTTATGACTTTCTCGCTTTGTGTCTTTTCATGTTTTTTGGTAAGATGCAGACAAGTTTCATCCTTCATTGAGGTTTGGCTTCTTTTCCAGAGACATTAATGTTATCAAAGAGAAAGCTCCTCTCCAATGCTTGCATCCTTACTATACTTAGCCTCTTTTGTGTCTTCAATAGAAAAAAAAAATATCAACTTTCCTTAACATTTGGACTGCATGGTGGGGCAGTGATTCATCTGCCTCGTGAGCCATTTAATTTTGCTCAGAAGGGTCAACATCTACAAAAAGTTTTTTAAATTACGGCTTTGCAAAGGGTTTGCCTGGAAAAAAACAAACAAACAAAGAAGCACCTCACACAAGACAGATGTTTTGAGTTGGAGTATACGTGTTCACTTGAGTGATTTGTGTCAAGATGTCAAGCAATAAGTAAATCAGCCTCAGCCACTTTTAAATAGTATGCTTAAAAGTGAATCAGCTCCACCCCTCAAAGTTCTTGCTTCATCCTCTGAATTAACCTAGTTGCCAGTGTGTTCAATTATATAAATAGTATAATCACTGAGTAGCTTACCTGGGAAAACTGAGCGAAACTGGGATCGGCAAAGAGAGGCACATGCCCTAGGAGCTCATGACAAATATCCCTGCAGGAAAACATGACATCTGAATAAATTGAATTTAGGAAGAGCCCAGCAATGATGGATGAATGATTTAGAGCCAGCACATAGTCAAGAGTGCAGTGCTTTTGCTCCTACCAGCAAATAATGCTCAAGACTCAGAAGAGAACATTTTGCTCTAAAATCATTCTTGTGATGGAAACACTTGCATGCTCCAGGATTTTCAGTGCTTTTATCATCATGTGTATCCCTCAGAGGCAGGATAATACATTATTCTTTTTTCCTTATGGAAGAAAACCATTCATTCAGAATCACCCACCCAGGTCAGGGAAGCTCAGAGAGAAATCATCCCACCAAGAGAACATGGACTTTTCAGTTTCAAGGACAAGAAACCTCTTTAGGTGAATCTCAGGCTACTGAGTCAATTCACCATGGTGTCAATATGTATCTCGAGGGCTCAACTCCAATTCCTGTTCAGGCCCACAGCCTTCCACTGAAAGGCTGAAGCTTGCCCTTCCTCAGGTAGGACTATTTTCATCACAAGTTGAAGTTGGCATCTGGACAGGTGTGTTGGGGAAGAACTCACCTATGGGCTGTAAGATTTTTCAGAGACAGAGAAGTGATTTGGTGAGATGGAAAGGGATAAGTGATAGCATGTTCCCAGAAGGGCCAGATCTGTGGAAGACATTTCAGCCTAGCTTTGTGCGGCATGAGAATGGAGTGAGCAGAAGCAGGGAGGAAAAACGAGGGATAGAAAAATGGAGGGGAAAAGAAGATTGTGGGAAGAAGTAGGAAGCAAAGAAATGGTAAGGAAGGGGAAGAAGAATTGCAAGACTATGAAGCAGAGGAACAAAACTTTTGAAAACAGCAAGTGGAAAAGGACAAAGAACAGGGACAGAAAGAAACATTACAGCACAAAACCAAAAAAGAGAAGGGATTAGCTGTCTGGGCTTCCTCTACTTGCTGCCAGAAGCTTTCTTGCGGCATGTTGAGTCATTTGGGAACCAGATTTCACACCACTGTTTGGATAACGTTTGCTAATAGCTAAGCTGGATGCCATTATACCCTGCCCTCTCTCATCCCAACCACCACAAAAGCATGCCTTCAGTAGCAAAACTGTCTCGTTTGTCCCATAAGAACTTGCAGAAGAGGACATAGCTTGTTAAAAAGCCTAGATATCTGACAAAAATGTTTTCAAAAGAGAGCAGTCACTTGGCTGCTTTCCATTAGCGCTGTTCCCAGGAGTGCTCCAGAGTCCCACATGGTTATTATCACTTGGGCTGACCCTGCTGTTAGTCTGCTGCAACTTTACATGCTTTCTGTGCCAAAGTACTCACGGCTCTGGTGTGTACATGGGTCTGGATGCATGGCGAATATACTGCGTAGAGTGGAAGACACGGAAGGCCAGTCCAGCCAGGAAATCCCGGGAGGAGAGCAAGCCTGCAACAGGACGCAGGCGGAATCCAGTGCAGGCTGATGGGACAAAAGATGTCATCTTAAAAACAACACTTGTGTTTGGTTTATCCTTAACTTCCCTCCTCAGATTGGAAAAAGTTTGTTAATTTTCTTTGCTCTCCTGAAGTTAAACTGTGAAAGAGCAAAGAATTTTCTACCCACATATATCCCTATCACAGTATTTGAACACCTGTACCATCATGCTCCTGGAAGTTTTAGACTGAGTCTTGGGATACAAGCTAAGTGATGTGGTCAAATACCATGGGGAGCCTGTGATAAAGTGGGCACTGCTTTTCCATCTCTGGAAGCACCACCCGCACTAATAGCTGAGGCTTTTAATTTGATTTGGTTCTTTCATATGCTTCAAACATACTCTGCAAGAACTTTGAAATATCTTCAAGCTGGGGAATGTTGTCCTCTCGGTAGCCACAGTACTTTTCCAGCAATGGGAACACATGGTTGTGTTCATAACAAGCATGAGTTGGATAGAGACTCTTCAGCTCTCTGAAGACAGTTCCCCATGTTTTCTTTTCTTCTTCTGTGTAGGTGACTCGAGGAATAGGTTGACCACTGGAAAGAAAATGAACACTCTCCATAGGAGCAACAGAGAAAATGTCCTATGCCACCAGTATGATACTCAGGAGTTTTACATGGGCTTGCCACAAGCTGCTGCTGCAGGAAGGGAGGTGCCTTTGGTCTGACATGCAGGTCCAAAAGGAGCCTCACTTGCTTCTAGGCACAGGCTGGGAAGGACTTTATTGACCTCAGCTGAGATATTTGCCTTTATACAACTCCTTGCATTATTGTGGTAACAATAAATTATTGCTTATTTGTCTTATCAAGATGTTCTAAAAATATTTGCTGGCTGTTTCCATTTATGTGCATTTCTAGATACGGAGCAGCTGTTGTATTTCTTGCTCTAATACACATTACATTAATTGTTTTGGTTACAACAAGGAAATCATCAGCTCCAGAAAACTCTGTTTCTTGGAAGGGCAGAGAAATTCTGTTCTATGCTTTATGCTGTAACAGATGGAGACGCCAGCTAGTTTGACTTTTTATAATTGTAATGAGCAATTTTGAGTCAAATCCCACCCTCAGGCCTCCATGTGCTTAGCTCACGTTGAAGCTAGTGGGAATTAGACAATCACAAGCAATGTAGTTTGGCCTCCTGTGAATAGTAAATTCTTTAGCAATAATGATAGGCCATAGGTGAACCCAGCAGCTTTGAAAAATCAAAGGGGTTTTAAGTAACTTAATAGGGTTAACATCACTGCTGGCATAATGTTAGAGCTTTCCAAGCCCCAGAGACTGACTGTTAAACTCGTGATGACACCCCACCATCTCCCAGTCACTCGTTTTTCCCTGAGCCTCAGGGCAGCTCCTCTGGAGCACCACCATTTTCTGTCTCTCTGTATCAGCGCTCCTTGATCTGTGGAGCTTTAAACATCATGTTGAATTATGAGGATCGCTGGGGGATTGTTGTTCCTATAGCACTCCTAAGTAATCCTCAGCCACCTTCCAGGGCTACAGGGGGAAGCTGTGGCTTTAAAACCTTTCAAGTTCCAATTCAAAAATCTCAGGGATTAACAGGACCAGAAGCAAAGGAAAGCAGAGGAAAGATGCAAGTTAAAGCAAAGAAAAGAGAAGTCAAGGAAATTAAGCATTCAACAATGGGCAAAAGTATCAAGACAGAAGACAAAAGAGCAAAGACAGTGTAGAGAGGCAAACAACAGAAGAGGACAAAATAGGTGCAAAACAACACACAGAAGAAGTTGAAGTTGATGGCAGGAAGAACAGTACAAGACAAGCAGTCAGAGACCCACCTTACCTTTATACCTGGGTAGCACCTTCACAGGCTAAGCACATTTTCCTTTTCACATACTTCCCATGAAGCCTGATAACTTTGGTTGTCCATCTTCTGCCTGGTTCTCTGTATCTCTGTCTCCTCATGCCAGAGACACCCCCTTGACCTCTCATCCCCACTGTAGACCCTGAAAGGCATGTCCACCAGGTGTAGCACCCAGGGCACAGATATCACAGATCCTTCTGGGCCTTCCTGAATCAACACCCAAAGTCACAAAAACCACATGCCTTCTTTCCACAAGCTTCAGAAGCCCAGATGTGGGCTTTCACACCCTACTCACTGCTCTGTTACTAAAAGACCTAATTGGGAAGTCCAAGAACTTCACATAAAAGGTGCTTTCAGGACATAGGTCTAGGTCTGTATAGGTTCTGTTTGCAATGTGTCTGAGGACCTGGATAACAGACTAAATATTAGCTAGTTACATCTTGGAATATACTGATTTTTTCTTCATAAGATGGTTTCAGTTTGAATCTTGAGAGAAGGGGGTGGTTAACATGTCTTTTTATTTTATTTCTATATAGGATATGGTGAAAGCCTACAAACTAGAGACCAGAATTTGCTATTCATTATGCAGGAAAGGTAAATATTCTGTGGGATGCCTATGAATGATCATTCGATCCATCTACATCTGGCCACAAAGTATTAACCAAATTTTCTAGTTATAAACCCAACTTCTGACTTTTTTCACCTTTTTTTTTTTTTTTTTTACTTTCCATCTATCAGTCCAGTTTTGTCTCTTATTTTTGATTAGATTATTATGTCTTTGGCTCAGAAACTATATTTTCATCACAGTCCTATGTAAAGTGGAGCCCTAAATGTACAACATATGTTACTTTATCCTTTGGAATCACAATTTTATCAGTCTCAGCAAGAACTGGGCCCAGTAGTACTGATATAAATGTGTGGTGGCTCTGGGAATATCTCCTCCAGATCTGATCACTGAAAGCAATCAAGCAAGCTCATTCTAACTGAATTTATCATCTCTATTCATTTGTTTTTCTTGGGAAATGAGAGCCCACGTTGCTGATTGCAGCTGGGTCAGACATGATAAAAGTAGAGTATTAGCATCAGAACCATAAGTTATTCATCATTTTAATAGCATGTGAAGCTCCTGCTTTAATGTAAATGATAGGCACTCCTCCCCCAGCCCTGATTTAATAGGGAAAATACCAAAAGCAGCTTTATTCAAAGCTCAGGTCTTCACAGTAGCAACAAAGTCTGCTGCTCAATTAGACAGCAAAGCCGGGGAAGAGCTGTGTTGTGGAGAAAGAAGTGAAGTGACGTTCTCCTTTGAACGTGTGCCTGGAACAATTTACTTTTGTTTTACTGTGATTTGGGGATAAATGGGTGAACAACAAAATTTAAATGCATGGCAGAGAAAAGCCAACAGCAGGAGGATGTTTGTGGAAAAATAAGGATTGCCAGCAGGGTGAAAGCCCTAGGAGAGGGCAGGAGATGTGGGCTTGCTCACTGCCCATACACTGAGCACTCACTGTCTGTAGTTGTAGGCAATATCAGCAAACTCCTTCCTTCGGGCTCGGTACACAGGATCTTTGAAACCCTAAAGAGAAACAGCAGAGGTCAGTCCCTGCATAAGTGCAGATCATGAGCAGTCTTAATCTCAGTGATCTTTCCCAGTCTGCAGGGTGACCAGAGCATCCATTCAGCCACAGCTTCCTAGCACTTCTCACCCCACATACCCTTTCATTTTCTCCTTTCCACTTGCTGAAAAAAAAGAGAAACATGCTCCTTTACAGTGCCAACAAGGTGCTCCCACAAGAGCAATATACTGAATCAATGGCACTCAGGTAATCATGTCCTTCTGGTTTCTCATGAAGCTTGTTGCAGTTTCTGGCACAGCTGGGCTGATCTAGAGGAGCCGAACTAAACCACATTAGAAAGACATTCATCAACTCAGTCAGACTTTTTAGGCAGATTTTCAGCATGAGCCACACTCAGAGGTGCTCATTTTTAAACTGTTAGAAGAACAGTAGGCACTTAGCAGGCCCTAACACCCTATTTTCACTACAAAGTCAACCATTGGAAGGGATTTAATTACTACAGAGAATGTCTAATAGACCTCGTGGTTAGGAGTTTGACCTTTTACAGCTAATTACCAATAAAACCAAGGATAAGAAATATAATCCCTAAATCTTCGTCTAGGATAACCATTCTCCTATCCCAGTGTGCTTGGTATTTAGACTAAAAGCTCCTCAGGGCTAGAGTGTCTTCACCATCTAAAGTGGAGAAATATCCTTCCAAGCTAGGACACACTTCTGCAGGGTAAGCAGCAACAACTCACTGGGAACCGTGACAGTTCATGATTTCATCTCTTAGTGGTGTACAGCACAACCGGATCAAGGGGCCACAAAACACAACCAAGGATGTGTTTCACAAAACACATCAGGAAAACACAACAGGAAGCAGCTGGAGTGGAGATCTAAAGAGTGTGAATCAAAAAGAGGTAGCTAATGGCCTAAACAATGCACTGTCCAAAATTAACCTGACATAGTGGTATTTGTGATTAAATCCCATACCAACTAACTAATAAAAACACAGCTTCCTTTAGTTTCTCCTTTTCTGCACTCTATTTACCCCAGCAGTGTACTCTGCACAATTATTTACCCCAGCAGCTGGGTTTCTTTTTTAAGGTATAAACTACTCAGCAACTAATTCTAGGAACTGGACCAGAGATGCTTCATTCCTTTTAATACTTTGTTGTTGTTTCTTTTTTCAAATACAATGTTGGTCTATTTCTGCATGACACAGAAGGGGGCTATTGACTTACTGTATCTCCTTTCGTTCTGCCTTTCATATAACCACACTGAACATCATGAATCATTGTACATGATACATAACACATCTCAAATTAAGCAATAGGTAGTGAATGACTAATCACCCCATCTCAATTAAACTAATGGCAGCAATTTTTGTTGCACTACATGTAATTTACTTATAATCACTCTATCTCAATTAAACTAATAGCAGCAATTTCTGTTGCACTGCATGGAATTCAGTGTGTTTTGACAAATGAAAATAAGTTGTTGTTTGCTTGGAGAGGGAATAGAAGCAGAAAATATTCGTGTTTCTGGAAGAGCCAAAAAACCACTGAAATTTTTTTAGCAGCTACACCAATGAGCAAAACTTTCTGACCCTATTATTTAAACCACAAACTTTTTGAAACAAGAACCTTTTCTTTTGTTGTGTCTCACCATACAAAAACCGTGTCAGATTTAACCACTACATAACAAGGCACTAGGCTCAATTGTGTTTATGGAATCAAGGATGAAAAAAGCAGTCTTCTTATCTCTGGGCTATGATATGTTGCTTTTGAAGTTTTTCTTGCTAGTGATTCACAAAATTAGTCTGAATTCACCACATCAGAGCTACCTGGGAAAACTAGAGGTGTCCTTGTAGTGGTATTGTCCTGTGATGATCACTATGACTTTTAAGTCTCCTGGTATTTGCTCAAATTAAAGCAACCTTTGTCTTATTTACTTCATAACCAGGGATTAGGCTGATTCTAACCTTAGAAATGTGGTACCCTATGAGTCTTAGTCTACCAGATTTGTCTTAAAGCAGAGCAAATATAAATGAGAGAAACATCTGTCCCGATAACTAGAAACATAAAGCTCTGTTACTTACAGGATGATCAGCATCCAATTCTGCTCCATAGCTTAGGATCTGATTGGCAAACCTGTCCAGCTCCTGGATACTTCTTGGGAACCATGGCACTGCAAAACAGAAAAGAAATAGAGACTGATATGCTTCTTCGCTACTTGGTTTGGGATATCCTTCTGGTCATTCCATCTTTTAATCATAAATATAAAAATAAATAAGCAAGGGGCTAAATTCTGTGGGCTGCAATGACCTTTCTCTGCAGTAAGTGGCAAGAGTAAACACTGCAAATTGTCTTGAATTTGTTGGAAGAACACAGAATTCAAGAATGTCTAGTGCTTGGTGCAAACCTGACTTGTAATGTTTGTGAGTTTCCATTTATTATTCTGGTCTCTTGGCTTACCAAAATGTAAGAATTCTTCTAGAGTATCCTTTCTTTCACAGTAACTACAATGAGCCATTTCAAAAGAACAGCAAGAAATCCACAACAAGAAGGATACAATTTTTGTTTGGCCCTTTGAAAATCTATTTCTAAGACCTACTTGATGGCCTCACTTAGCTGGGATGCTGAAATAAAATTATAAATGGCACCCTAATGCCTCAGACTAGCATTGTATTACTTCAATTATTATACAATAATGCATTCATTTAATTAATATTCTGTGCGTGGTTCTCTATTGCCTTGTAACTCACATACTATCTGTACTGCCTATGGTGCAGCCAGGATATGGAATGGGACAACATTACACAGCATGTAATGCCCATGTGGCCATCCTTTTACAGAAGGACATGAGACTTTGCCTGTGTATTTCAAGCACAGAAACCATGGGCTGTCTTTGAGCACTCCCATCACTTCTCTGCACCACTTCCAGTTCTGCCACTCTTGTTCTAAGGAAAGGTCACAGACCTCTATCAAACGATGTGTCTCATGTACAGGCCATGGAGTCGTGTCCCATTATGCTCCCTCACACTGTACAGAGTACAGTACAAAGTACAAGTCAGCAACATGGATTTCAAGGCTAATATCACCCAAAGTTCTGCTGGTTCAAGCCCAGGGGCTTTCAGCAGTCTCTGTATCAATAAAATGTTTGCAGTTGATTTAGTGACTTTGTTACACAAATGGGTACCACTTGCTCAGTCACTGCTTGGAAAACAGCTCATTCTGCTGTGTGGCTGTCTGCTCAGCTAGGAGCACTGCCACCCAGCCATACCTTCCCATCTGATTTTGGGGTTTGTGCCAAGTGAATCAGATCCCCAGCTGGCAGCTGCTGCATGAGCTCCCTGATGTGCCTTGCTGATGGGGCTCATGCCAGATCTGATGGACCACTTGCAGTATAAGAGGATCACTCTGTCTCCAGGACTATTCAGCCTTGCTTTCTGCTGAGCCTAACAACACAGAGAGCACTTATGGTGCTGGGTTTCTCCAAGACACCTGCACAGAGGGCCCGGAGCAACAACAGCATATTTACAGGGCACAATTTGGGCAACCACAGCTCAGCCTCAGCCAGAGTGCTCACTCCCCCTGACCTACTGTCCCACCACCAGCCTGGTTCTACCCAATGCTCCCACTGGGAGCCCTCACATCTGTTTCAGGCAGCTGGTGACTGCCAAGGAGGCAGCCAGGGAGGTCCCAGGCTGCCTGGACTGCAGAGACCCGGCATGGCAGTGCTGCCGGTGCGCCTCCCATTCTCCAGCCCAGCAGAAATGGGTTTTGGTCCCCCCCAACTCCGACCTGCACATCCGTGTGCTTTGTCGTAAAAAAAAAAACAACACGAAAAAGTCACTAGATGGCAGCAGCAGGCCCAGGAAGTTCTTCAGAAAATAACCGTCTGCTGGGTGTACCGCTAGCTCTAGCTTCTCCAGAAATACTCTTCTCATCTTGCTGTTAGCAACTTTCCTGCACCTCCAACCTCTTGCGCTAAACTAGTCAGAGGGGGTGAGCAGAAAAATGTGTGTTGGAGTCCTAGAAAGGAGTCACTACTCACACCACGTGAAGGATGAGCACACCCTGCTATCCTGCCCCTATTTTCTATTTTGGCAGTGAGGCACTGGGTTTATCTCCTAGCTCTGCCACTGAGCTTTTTGTGATGGTGGGGGAATCATGTCACTGTTGTATGCTTCAGACTTCTCCATACCAACTTGGGGTGAGGCACACTGTTAAATGTTTTCATAGTAGGGACTGGGAAAAGGAAAGGGAAAAGGAAAGGGAAAGGGAAGGGAAGGGAAGGGGAGGGAAGGGAAGGGAAGGGGAGGGAAGGGAAGGGAAGGGGAGGGAAGGGAAGGGAAGGGGAGGGAAGGGAAGGGAAGGGGAGGGAAGGGAAGGGAAGGGGAGGGAAGGGAAGGGAAGGGGAGGGAAGGGAAGGGAAGGGGAGGGAAGGGAAGGGAAGGGGAGGGAAGGGAAGGGAAGGGGAGGGAAGGGAAGGGAAGGGGAGGGAAGGGAAGGGAAGGGGAGGGAAGGGAAGGGAAGGGGAGGGAAGGGAAGGGAAGGGGAGGGAAGGGAAGGGAAGGGGAGGGAAGGGAAGGGAAGGGGAGGGAAGGGAAGGGAAGGGGAGGGAAGGGAAGGGAAGGGGAGGGAAGGGAAGGGAAGGGGAGGGAAGGGAAGGGAAGGGGAGGGAAGGGAAGGGAAGGGGAGGGAAGGGAAGGGAAGGGGAGGGAAGGGAAGGGAAGGGGAGGGAAGGGAAGGGAAGGGGAGGGAAGGGAAGGGAAGGGAAGGGAAGGAAAGGAAAGGAAAGGAAGAAAAGAAAAAAGAAAACTGTCTGGCAGCAAAGGATTTGTCAGTCTTAGAGTGGATAACCACTATTCTCAGAGATGCACCATGATTTGAAGGCTCTGGGCTGTGCAGACAAATTGATGGAGGATGAAGTCTGCAGTGGATTTCAGAAGTGAAGTATGTAGGGTTTTGCTGCCCTGAATCAGAAAGGTCTAGATGGGCAGGGTTTGAATCACTGCAGCCTCAAGAAGGGATAAAATGGATAGATAATAGCAGCCTATTTTCATTAAATACATTTGTTGCTCAAGATTTGCAGAGTATTTAGTGCAGAGCTCGTGATAAACTCTGGGACAGACTGATTCCCAGGCTGATGTCGTGTCAGTCCCAGGCATGGAGATGCATGGTTTGGTTTTCCTCCATGCAGGAGCAGCACCTTATCTTCTAGGAATACACTCCCTATATGTACCTGACTTATTTTCAGCAGACATCTACCCTCTTCCCAGGTCCCCCAAGACACTGGTGGTAGCTAAGAGAGAGGAGCTCTGAGCTCGCAGAGCTGGATGAAAGGGACAGCGTGTGAAGGAGGTCCTGAGGATGCTTAGTGCTATTTGCACTGGCATAGCTGCTGTTAAGTTTGGTCCTGGAAAGTCCTGAGCCTTCTCAGCTCTGTTGGAAACAAGAATCAAAGGTCCTGTGGACAGCCCCAGGACAGGCACTGCACCAAGCCTATACAGCCCTCCCATTGGGGAGCAGGGTGCAAAAGGGCTACTGAGTCTTCTGTCCAGCTGTGGCATGCCAGGAGCCTGTCCCCAGCAACTACTTAAAATATCAAATCAAATTACTCCCCGTCTGAATCTATCCTGTATTTTATTTGCAATATCTTCCTCTAGCCCGTTCACCAGACTTGCTGTCTGTCTGCATGTCCATTAATGAATTGCCAGGGCAAGCTGTTGCAACACTGGGCCTCTGTGAAAGTCTGAGGAGCAAACATGGGCTGATCAGTAATAAATATTGATTTGTCTGTAAGTGAAACAGCAGCATTTATGGGATTGTGCTGGACACCCAAGTGGTGACCAAATTACCATGGGGTCAAATGCTTAGCAGAATGCTAATAAGCCATTTATGTGAGAGGCACCAAAGCAGTGGCAGCGAGGACTTCTGGAGAACTCCTCCATTTGGATCATTATGAGAAGGGTCAAAGACAGGTCTATGCAATTTATAGCTGTTCAAGGTCCAGGTTTAGCCCTTTTTTAAGCAGTCACAAATGCTTTGGCCAGCCTCAGGGTTTAGGAAACAAGACCCCTACAGAACCTCAGCTCCCAGTGTGTCTCAGAAACGCAATAAATTGTCTGGATTTCCCTAATGCTGCAACAGAATAATATTCAATTCTTCTTATTCATGGGCTCCAAGTGGACTGCAGATACCCAGCTCATTTCCAAAAATAAAGAGCCATGAAGAGATTTCACAACATACCTTTTCATCTCTATAAAGGGCTTTTGGCTTAGTGACTTCTAGCCCATCTTATCCAAAGCTCTAAAACTACCTTTGGATTTAGAGTATTTTGTTGGCCTGCTCTCAGCTGAAACTACACTATTGATCCAAATCTGACATTTACAACTATTGGGATGTGTGGAACGGAAATCAAAAATATATTTCACATTTAATTGAGAAAAGACTCTAAAAGCGCTTAAAGTGACCTGACCAGACAAAAAAGAAAAAAAAAATATTAAACAAAAAATTATCCCTTGCCCAATAAATCACATACACACTGAACTATACAGAATGAACAGAATACAGAAATTTCTTCTGACTGTCTGCAAAGCAGTGTGCCAAGAATAGCAATGTGTGCTTCCTACACAAAACTGAGCAAAACAGGTGTGGTTTTTTTTTTCTCAAATCACAAGCATAAGCAAAATGAGTCCTTAGCAAGGAAGGACTGAAAACATCTTTAGGCAGCAGTGAAAGAACTGGTCCCACAGGAGCCCCAACTGCCTCCAGGAGGAGGCCTGCACAGCCTTTACCTGCCCACTGAGAAGAGTGTGACAGTTTCCCCATAAAACATATTTCTGAGATTTTGCTCCCTGGAGGCATGTTGCTCTCAGTCTGTATTTCAGGAATAAAATTTCATGCAGGTGGATTATGGCCAAAGTTGCCAGGAGGATACATTTGAAAGGCAAGCTGACCTAAAGGCACGACAAGGCGTGTTATTTGTTAATGCCATCACTGATAAAGGACAGCATCTTATCACACTTCCTACAGCTTGGGCTGCTCCCATCTCACTCTGCCCTTGTAACTGCTTCAGTCCAGAACTTGTCACCCACAGTTCATCTACTCAGCAGGGATTGTTTGACCTTTCTAAACGTCTTTGGGGACTTCAGTTTCATTGGACCCTTACTACTCCTAAGAGAAGCTGAAACTGGAAAAATGAAAGGGCAAAAAGAATACTAATCTTCCTCTCCTTGACAATGAATTGCTCACATTTTATACTATTTCTGAGTTACTGAAACTAACAAAGAAACACAAGTTTTCCTCTACGACAGAAGGGGATCAAGTCCCTTTCTGCAGTACAGACAGGATAATCTAGCCCAAAAAACCTTTGATCAACACAGTAACATGCAGTGAAATTCTAATCCTACAGATGGCCATGGGAGTTTTGACTTCTGTGAGGTCAGCATTTCATTCACAAGCCTTTCTTGGCTGATATTTTGATCTGTGTCTCTAACCAGTTCTGGACTATGCTTATAAATACAATATAACTTTATTATTTAAAGAATTTTACTGTTGAATAAAGTTTATTATTAACTTCTTTACAGTAATTAGAAAAACAAAAGCAATGGCAAACTCTGCTGGGCCCTGTAGCTTTTTTTGGGAACTAAAAAAGCCCCCAAAAGAAAACCTTTGATTTGACATGATCATAAATCACCTAATCAACCTTTTGTCCCCTTCATCTCATGAATGGAGAAAACTGACCCAAAGAGAATCTGCCTTCTTCTTTTTCATCTTCAAATGTAATGTCATGGGTAGGGCACAAAAGAAACGGTAAAAGGATTACCAGCACTGATCTCAAGAAGGTATTAATGTCCTTTCATGTTGTTCATAGGAAGGAAGAGGAAGATTCAGACCTAAAGTATTTTGAAGTCTGAAATCCTATTAAATTCACATCTGTTATCTGAAGGAGCATTTAAGAATGTCTCAGACTGAATGCTGGGCAGCCACCACTGTACCAGGCAGCCTCATCTCCAGCAAATCTGTGAGAGTTAGGAGCATGGACAACTCACAAAATCTTTCCTTAGAATTACAACTGAACTCCCTGGGATTTCTTATAGGAATGGAGAGTTATTCCTTCTCCCACCAAATTGGGTGGCAGAGCCTCCCTAGTTTCAGAAGCAGGAGTGATGGGCATCCACAAACCCAAAAACTGGAGAGGCAGATGGATGGTGTCGGACTCACATGTACCTGTGTAAAGAACACATAGCTGGGGGCACAGTCACCCTCTGGGATTCTTCTTCCCCTTCTCTCACCTCAGCCCAGAGTTGCCATACTTCTTCAGGAAGGTGAAAGACAGTTTTTAATAGGTGACATTTTTCACAACATGACACTGTAGAGGCTTGACTCTGCTGAGCACTGAACAGACATGGATTTGTTGTGGGGATGAGGTGGGAAGGGAAAAAAGACAGCCTGTGTCTCTCAGGGGAACTGATCTACCATCTACAAACCAAATCCATGCGTGCAGCTGCAGATTTTGCTGGAACTGTCATCTTAAATTGTGATTGAGTTTACGTGGGTTTTTTGAATAGGGGCAGACAGCAACTAGACAGATGTAGTTCATCCCACGTGGAGATCCTTGTCATCTCTCTCCTTCTAAGTTCTCATGTGGGCAGTGAACATAGGAAGAGGCTAAAAGTGTACCAGCCCTTCAGCGGCGCTCAGTGGTGCAAAGGCTATGGGACCTTTCCCACAGTCAGAGATCCAGGGGACATGTCATTGGACTTGCTAGTCTAACCTATCTGCATTAAACATGATCGTATGGGCCCCACTCGCACTTCTTATACCTTCACGTTACAGGTGTGTATCAGGAACAAAAGCTGCCACCCTTTATGACTTGCCAAAAGTTGTGTATACAAGTGCTGCCTATTTTAAAATAGGGCAGAGACTGGGAGCAGAATATAGATGTACCTATAACTTTCTGCACCATTGCTTAGGGATTTACAAGTTGAGCCTTTAGCCTGTAACACCAATCATCTTCAGATCCTGGTTAACTTCTGCAACTAGTGTAACAAGCTACCACAACAAGCTGTCTTTAAGAGACTGTGAGTGCTGCCAACCAACCAGACAGAGGACAACACAACCCCATAACACTAGCTCCCAGGACACCTAGCCAGAAGCACAGCAAAAGATGGAGCACAGAAGTTTACACAGAGAGAAAAACCTCCAAATGAAAAAGCTTACAACGGAGGCAAAATCAGCAGAACGGGAGGAAATGCAGCCATACAGATCCAAGAGGAAATCCTTTGCTACAGGAAAAATAAGTTATTTAAGTATGTGATATAAATATTCCTTGTAAGCATTATCCTTTTCATGTATCCTTCTTACCAGTATCCTTCTTCTTTGTTCGTGAAAGCTCGTGGACTGTTGCTCCAATATCATTTCTCAAGGACTTGATGATATTGTCCAATGCAGGGACATTCTTTCCTTCCAAGTTAATGAAGAATTCATACTCATCTTTGTTGAGACGGGAAGGTCGGGACTCAATGTGGGTCAGGTTTATACCTTTTTCCTGTGAGAAAGAGAGATTTGGGTCCCACAGGATTTCAGGGATGAAATACGACATAAAGACTAGCTAAAATTGATGTGTCGGTCAACAACCCATACTATACAATCCAAGTAACTCAAAAGTAGAGACTTGCCTCTGATGGCCACTGGACTGAGGACTTTCATAACAGGGAGAGAATCAAAAAGGAAGAATGAGGAGGATGGGGGGATTCACCCTTGTGTGGAACACCAACACAAATACTACTGTACTACATACACTTGAAAAAGGTGGAAGCAGAAGACAAGTTGTAAGAACACTTTGCATTGTAAATGGCGACTCCAGTACCGCAAGTACATAATGGAAGTTTGTCTGTGTGGACAAGAACTTTTCCCCAGGATCAAGACAGGAAGTAGGCATTCTACCTGTGGAGAACACTCTGATGAGAAACTGAATGCTAAATTTATGACAATCTTGAAAGGAGGTTGGAAAAGCAAGCAGCTGGACACCCTGTGAGATGAGCTTCTGCCAAGTCACTGCACAGTCACCTGCAAAGCCACCTGCACAGTTTCTAGGGCCGTAAGCAGGTGCTAGGCAGAGATCCAATGGGAAGCATGGATCTGCACCAAAAAGGTACAGGTTTGTGCAAATAAAAACATGAGTGTTTTAAATCACAGAATCATAAAATCACAGAATCACAGAGTTGCTGAGGTTGGATGGGGCCTCTGGACACCTTCTGGTCCAACAGTGTGCTCAGGCAGCACCTACTAGAGCAGACTGTTCAGGGCTGTGTCCGGTTGAGTTCTGAGTATCTCCACAGACAGAGACTCCACAACTTCCCTGGCAACTGCTCCAGGGCCTGATCACTCTCATAGCAAAGAATTCTTTTCTTTAGCATGAAAATTCAAATTCCATCTCACTGAATGTCTTCACTGAGCAGTAGCATAGAATCATAGAATCATAGAAT